ATATTTTTTAATATTTTTCTTAACCAACTTGTATAACAATATATATTTGTAAAGCTCATTTTTGACTGYTATTGAACACTGTGGTTTGGTGTACATTTTCGCGCACAATACATGCCTCTGTATAGATACATATGTATGTATATGAACGTTCAATGTWTGCTTGGCTGTGTACACAAATTCACTTTTATGATATTCTTGTGTATATGAAGTACGTAAATGAACCTTTTYGCCGAAGCGAAGCCAAGCGACTTCTTATGCGGCTGCACGCCTAACCTTGCCTAACAGCACATTTCCTACTCGACGCGCAGTTAACGCGAGCAACGTGCTCGCTCAATCGATTTTCACATAAGTTAAATACTTACAAATGAACAGCTGACTGACTACACTTACTACGGTCGACGAGTGTTTGGGTGGTTGGTTGCTTGGCTGTTAAGCGAAAGTATATCAAAAGGGGTTAAACAAGTAAAAAATCGATGCGTCGCGTCAGCTATTTGAATGGGGGGCATGGTCGCTATTTGCTTTATATTATTTCGAAAAGTGTTTCAATRTACTGCTGCAGGACAGAGGGGTGCTAGCGGCGCTGGCTGGCTTGCTGACTGGGTCGATAGTGTCGACGAGTACGAGACGAGCTGTATACGTGCGCGTCCATATTAACTGGCAGTGGCTGTGTGACCGTGTTACCGTGGTTGGCTGTTGCTCGACGTTGCTTACTGCATTCGCCTTCAAATGGCAGCGGCGTGCTGTTGTTGTGTGGCCCGGTTGCTGGTTGGTGCTGTTGCTCAAATAGCAGTCGCAGCACTTTATTGGTCGTTGCCGTGCGAGCATAGCAGAAATGAATTTCGAAAATTTTGTGTTGGTCGAATCGTACATCCCGAATAATAGGCGCACAGCACGCRTCGAAAGTGTTTGCATTGTTACAGTTGGATGAATGTTCTTATTGGCTGTCAGCGCCAGTGTTGCAGTTCGCTGGTGGCTGCCTGGCTAGCTGGCTGGCTGTTTACCGCTGCTGCTGGTACTGTAGAGCTCTGACTTTGGTTTCGATGTTCCTGTTTTCTGCTTATGCTTTTGCTTTTGCCGCTCTGTTGGTGTATTGTTGTGCCAACGCCAGCGTAGCTGTGTGTGTTTTGCCTGCTGTTTCGTAGCCATTCTTTGCTTTATTGTTTTGCCTTTTGCTGCTGCGGCACCACAGTTCATATCGAATACAATTGTTTTCGCACACATGTACACATTCATACATGCAAGCATAAATATGTGTGGTGCTGTGGTGCCAGCTGCTGTGCGTTTGGTTGGCTGTTCTTGCACTTTTCTGCTATTGTTGTTTTCGCTCTTTAAAATGAAAACGACAATGGCAGCTCAGTTGACACCGTCCTCACACCAACGTCGCTGGGATTATGAYTTTTTGCCTTCGGCAGCGTCTGCGCCCGTTTTGATTGCCGGTAACAGTCAACAATCAACTATCGATTACACCGTACTTTTATGCAGCGCTGAGGGAATTATGTTTACTTGTACATATGTATGTATGTATGTATATTTGTATGCATGTATTCGCAATGCGTTTGTGTGCTTTTGTGCGCTTAGTATTTTGTTGGTTGGCTGCTGACGCGGTTGGCTATCAGCTGAGGGAATATCATTCATTGACCAACCAAAATTGTCCGATAGGAGACATAAGTGGCCACTTCGAAATTTATATCAAATGAATGTGTGTACATACATATGTGCATATGTATATATATTTATTTACCTTTAAATATGCTAATAGTTAAGTAAATAGGTATTTTAGGTAGGAACTAAGTATGCGTTCCTCGRGTAAAAAACAAACCTTTTTCAACAATATTTTATTAGAAATTTTTATTGTTACAAACATACATTGTTAACAAAGAAATTCTGAAATTTTTGCAAAAAAATATATTAAACTCGGCCGTAGCGACGACATTTCCGGTGACTCATCGGAAAAAAGATGCGTCCTCGTTGGCAGGAGAACTCCTTACAGGGTCAACTAAAGACGAAAAAAAAAAAATACGTGTTTTAGTTAAACCTTAACTTAGAACTTGGACGAAGGAAAAAAAATTKAAATTGGWTTTTTGGCAGACGTTTAAAAAAAATAAAAATTTCAGTGAAAATTTCGGGACACATTTTTTTTTTAAATAGTTGCAATCGAAAAAATAATTCGTCCAAGGGCTTAAACCTTGTAAAATTTCATGACGGTTCGTTAAGTAGTTCTCGAGAAATCTTGCCAACTGCATTCAAAAACATAGTTTCGAAAACAAAGGCGGCGCATTTAGCCTAGCTATCCTCGAGCGCACAAGTTCTCAAGGCTGTATCTCCGAAACAACATGAAAATTTAGGACAATATTCTAGAGGTGTTGTAATAAAACAATAAAAAATTCGATTTTTTGAAACCCGTAAACCYATATAAAATTAAGTTTGCCAAAAAGTTTGTTAGAGTTTGTTTTGAACTGATATATGAAAATCAGGCCCCTCTATGGACACTTTTTATTTGACAAAATATTTTCAAAACTTGGTTTTGTTCCAGATATAAGATCGATTTTGGAAATACATATGCATATAATTTTGTATTTGCAACTCAAATCCTTTTTCTTTGCGGAGTGCAAATTATGATGGAAATAATGTATAACTTTTATTTTTGGAAATTCTACGTAGTTCTCCTCTCCCCGCGGATCCGCACCTGTTCTGGTGGAACCGCTTTCTCTGTTTCTCACCCTAATTTCCTAAATCTCCGAAAAATTATACAGTTAATTCCGTATATAGTCAATTTTCGTTTATGTTCGGTAAAGAGCCTGAAAGTGAACATCACGTAATGCCCGAAAAAAAGCGCAGAAGTCTAATTATGACTACAAAAATCATATTTTTCGAATGAATAATTAATCAATATGTCAAAAAACCAGATCACATTCAAAATTTTCATTAACTAATTCATAATCTCGGCTATAAACAGCGGTGAATGAGCCAATAAAGAAGAATTCGTAATCTGGATACCATAACAATTGAATGAAACGATAACAAACTAAATATATTTTTTGAAGAGCTGTGTTATTATTCAAGGCAGCGCTACAATCTCCGAACAAATGGCTCAGAGTGGATCATTAAAGCATACATACATATATCTTTGGCATAGATATACTCTTTTTATAGCTATTAATGCTTTGTGAAATGCACTAGTGAGGGATATCGTAGCTTCCATGGATCCTAGGTTAGCGGTTTGTCTTATTTTTTGTAAATTCTCTTATGCGATATTTATTTTTAAGGATCAGTACAAATATTTTCCGTCCTTAAGATATATTTTGTATATTTTTCCGCTCTTACATAGGATTTATTTTAAAATATGTAATGGTTTTTTCCCTCATAAATATGTAAGGAACAACACTGCCACACATCAATTCTACTTACACACATACATACATATTAACATGCGAAGTTAATCAATTGCGGTGCTAAATGATATTGTAACTAAAAGTAGTTTAACGGAAATTACAATAATAATGCATAATATTTGTTGCCCAAGATTGTTTCAGATGCAAATATGTGCATACATATGTGTGTATATTTTTACATACATACATATTTACTTATATCAGCAATCGCCAAATAAAAGTTTAATTCTTAGCTTTTCATCCAACTAGTCCTCACAAAAATTATGCTAGAAATTRTAACAACAAAATGCATTTTCTTTCAGCTTTCAATTCAAATAAGCGCATTAATTTAACATTGTGCAATAATGATATCCAATGGCMACATCTGAAAGTTGCAACGTTGTGATTGGAGATATAATCGTACTTTTGCAATAGGTTATGCCACTTGAAATTGCCCCCACAGTACTCGAACCAACTCTAGCCACTGTAGGTAGCTATGGCATTCCATAAAGTACTTGACCGAGCGAGCGTCCACTTGGCAGCATGGCTGTGCGTCGCTCTGGCACGGGTCGGTGGATTCGATTCGGTCGTCGTGATTGCGATGTGCTTTTTTTTTGCAGCAACATTAAAGCCAATGTGTATGTAACGAGTGAGTACCTACTACAACTACTAGTACTTACCATCATGCAAGCCCGTTTATCGAGGGTGGAGTCCAAGCACCGTTGATTGGCCTGCCAACTCTGTTGCAATGTTGTGCCATTGGTAGATAATTTTATAGGCATTTTGAGCCTATAAACGAAAACCGGAAATAAACGAGCGAACAAATGAATTAATATTCCTTCTCAAGTACGAATGTTGTTGGCGCGCTTACAACTACAAACGAGACAATTAATTCGCTTATGTTTCACCGACGAGGGGAAAAGCTTTGATTAGCCTGGATAACGATTGAACATTTTAAGGTGGGTGGATTATAGTAGCAAGTAGTTATTAAGCATATGACTATATGTATGTATATGAGTATGTATCGGTAGTCGAAAAAGTCTTTTCGTATTTTAGAAATAGTTGTCGTTGCAGTCGTATTTACATACATATATCTCCAGTGCTGCCACATTGTGGCATACAATATAGTGCTGGAAAGGTGCGATTTTAAGCTTCGTTTAACCAAAAAAGAAATTAAATTCGGGGAAGTTGATAAAAACTTACAGCTGTTCAAAAATGAATGAAAAWTCGCTATATTTTGAAATATTTTTATAAAAAAGGGAAGAATGCCACGCAAGCCTCTAATGAAATTTGTGAAGTTTATGGAGACGATGCTCAATTTTTGGCGAAAGAAAAACAAATTATTGCATTATTGTTGTTAAACAAAAAATATTAAATATTTAAAGTAATTTATGAAAATATTTCTTTTAAAATTATATTCATATTCCATTTTAATTATCTGCTGGATTACACATGTACTTATACACAACTGAATCTACATACATACATTTCTATGTAAGAATGTTTAATGCCAACAACCACTTTAATCTGGCCTCTTTTATATCTTTACAGGCTTTAGCTTCCACCCTCCAGCAGACACCAGCCAGCAGCTGTTTCCAAGCGGCCATTCTACAAATGTTTACAAATCCATAAGATACTATTACGCCACAAATGCACACACCCAGACAAAATGTGTAGCTACAAAACAAAGCAGGTACGTTGTAATGTCATTATAGATTTATGTTTGTAAGTTGTCATATAAACATACAAAAAGTATCTACAACGCCTTCTGTATCCCATTTCAGCTACTCGTTTTCCTGGTTGCCCGCTTTTCCATACACAAATCGAAATCGTTGCATCGCGACAGCGCAACATAGCGACAGTAACAACAAAAATTACAACGAATAAACACCACCAAGCAAAGCAGCAGCCGCAAGCAACGCCACACAACATGCTCCACATYCAGAAGCAAAAGTTGGCGCAGAGCTGCCATCAACGGAATATTCATATCTAAATGCTCACGTGAAATACTTGCCTGAATGCGGAGGAAGTTTTGCAATGCTAGACGATAATAATTTTTTTTAATTAACCATGATTTATTTAATTAACAGTAATTAATTTAATTAACAATAATTGATTTATCCATTAATAATTTATTTAATTAACAGTAATTTATTTATCTAACAATAATTTATTTAATTAACAGTAATTTTTTAACTAAAAATAATTTATTTAATTAAGAATAACTTGTATAATTAATGATGTTTTAATTAGAAATAATTTCTTTTATTAACAATAGTTTATTTCTAAAGATTAAAAGAGATAATAATATATTTATTCCTAAATTACTTCAATATTCAAAAATATTTAACATAATAATTTCAATGTGAAAAAAAGAAAAAAAAAATTGTAAAATTGTAAAATTATTTTCAATAAATTTGTTTGAAATTCACTTTTTTACCATAAAATTTCGTTATTTATTAAGAATCTTCATAGATAGGCTAATTTTATGTATTTTCAATTTTGAATCACATTGGTCACCCTGTGYCGTCGCGTGGCCGCACATTTGAGGTGTTGTATCTCGGCGCGCGTCATTTACCAGGTACCCAGAATCGCTAGATGGTGTCTACCGRCACAACAAATTGTTGGTGGCGCAACGTGCTGGCCGGTCACATGCTGATGTAAACAAAGCGGCATGCAACAACTATGCGCGTTGGTCAAAGCGTGCCAAATAGTCGTAGTGCCATCAATTGGCTGCTTTAAAGACCGTGAGTTAAAATGAAATGACAGTGTGTGTACAACGGCTGMTTGGGGTGTGCCGCATGACATTGGTGTGAGCGAGCACAATAGTGATTGCATGTGCAGGGAAATTTATTTGCGCCTGAAAGTATGCAAGTATTYCATTGTGAATGAGTTAGAAATTATATGGGGACTATTTTAGGCGTTTGAATTTACAGGTAAGTTTTTGGTCTCGTATGAAGATAAACATGAAGTGTTAGTAAATATAATATTAAATAATGGAAATGCATACATATGTAGATATATAATCTGCAGTCCTCGCTTATACTTGCACAATTTCATTTGGTCACAATACCTACATACGTTTCTCCAACCAACATGTTTGTCTTTAYAAAGGGTGTGCCAACAAGAAATGAATTGAAATAAAACACATAMATTTGCTCAAAATGAGTGCTGTTTTTATTTTATTATGCAAAAAATTTTATGCCATTTATGATTTAAACAAATTGGTGGTCAAATGGCCACGCTTGCTTATCTCCACTTGTTGATGCCGATTTTCGATGGAATTTTATCTGAAATTCCGGTTATAGTACGCGGAGTGTTTTCCTCGAGCATCTAAACCGTCGCCGGTTGACTGTTTTAAACCTTTGATTTAACATACCCCCAGAGAAAATAATCTAGAGGCGTTAAGGGGTTACATATTTTCATAGGCAAAAAAAAACAGCTCTTTTTCAACAACTTTTTTCGCACATAAAAAATTAAATATTTTATTCGAATTTTTTATTATTACAAACATTTACTATTAACTGAAATGTTTGAGAAAAAATATTTTTAAACTCACAGTTTCGAGAAAAACGCGTTAAAAGACAGCGCACTTAGCCTGGCTAGCCTCGAGCGCACRAGATCTCAAGGCRGTATCTCCGAAAMCATTACTCGGATAATCTTGAAAATTTTATATGATATTCTAGAGGTTTTGAAGAATTTAAAAAGATAATACAAAAATCGATTTTTGAAACCCGTAAACCCATGCAACCCYTAAAACGAAAAATCCTGGCTGGRGGGAATAWTTTCTTCCCCATATATAGTTTYATTTACAGCAAAAAATTCGCCAAAAGTTTTTTGTTTTTGACTCACCCTATAGAGTATATAATATAAGAAAATTTATAAAAATTTTAGCCTTTCAATGTGGAAAATTTGTGTTGGCGACATAATAGTGACAGCTTACTCAGTTCCATGTTAATAACATCATTTTTCTTACTCAAGCGATTTTTTGCTGGCGATTTGGGCGTGGAAAAAAATATGCCGTCTCCTATTCCTTATTCTTTAGAACTCAGTTTGTTGAAAGCACAATTTTTTAACTTAAAAAACATGCGATTTTTTTTTGGTATTTTAAGTATTTTTTGTTGTATCTAATATTTGAGTTGTTGTTGTACAACTGTTACAGCCACTTCAGCGACATTTTATTTTGTCTCTTCGTGCTTTTTGGTTTTTATTTTCGATTTTTTTTATTTTTAGAATTTTCGTTTTTTGTTGTAGAAATATTTGAATATTTGAGAATGTTTTATGTTTTTGAAAATTAGTAGCGGTATGCGCGGCATTTTTAATTTATGTGCGTTCGCTTAATAGTTTGGGCTTAACATTTAGCGTTGACGTGGGGAAGCGGTTGAATTGTCGAGAAATTCATGACAATTCTTTCTGGCTTTTTTTTTTTTGATTTTATGCTTTTGTAGAATGAAGAAAGAAATTAGCAGACGTGGACACAGACATACATTTGTATGTGTGTGTACATATGTACGTGAACACATGTTTGAAATTATTTCGTCACCGGCCAAAAGGCTCTAGTACAACTGTTTCACAAATTAAGCTTTCTTCAGCAGATGTCGCTTTCGCAGAAAAGTTTTCATTTTATATTTTTTTCTCTTCTCGCCATCGCAATTTCGAAATTTTGCTTCACTGCGAAAATTTATTTATTTATTGTGTATGTATTGATAYATATACATACACATATACATATATACAAACATTAATAAGGGCTATATCTAGCGATATCCAGTTGATAAGGCGAGTCTCTTTGAAAGTACATAGCTGTTTTGGGGACCCTGTGGGATTTGACTACTATCGAGTTAATAAATATATACTATAAATATGGTATAACTAGTTAAATAAGAATTGCCTGCATTTTCCGAGTTGCTCGAGCCGTAAGGAAGCTCTAAACTTTTTTACATTCTCCATAGTCCCACATATWGTTAGTCGATTCTCGGTTTCAAACCCGTGCGTTATGCGAAAACCTGAGACAAGCAGGAACTATCTTCAATACTCTGTTTTCATAGCTCCAGCTTGGGATTCCGAACGGGACTGGTTATTAGACTGGTTATTTAGACTCGTCTGCATTCCGTCTCTTCCTTTCTTCTTCCGTCAAATCACCCTAAAAGTAAGTTTCGCACAAGACGATATTACAGCTTGAAATACGACCATCCTTCGCGTTTAAGGGGTTGCATGGCTGTACTGGTTTCAAAAAACCTATTCCTTTTATTGTCTTATAAAATTCTATAACACTTCTAGAGTATTGTCCTAAATTTTCAAGTTGATCCCAGTAATAGTTTCGGCTTTGAGAACTTGTGCGCTCCAGGCTATCTAGGCTAAGTGCGCCGTTTTTAATCGCGTTTTTCTCGATACGATGTTTTGAAGTCAGTTGGATTTCAGGATTTCTCCAGAACTACTCAACCGGTCTTCATGAAATTCTATACAGATCTTTGAGATTCAATGCTTAAAAACATGGACGAAGGATTTTTTTTTCGATTACGAATATTTGAAAAAAAACGTCGCCAAATTTTTAAGGGAATTTTAATTTTTTTGTTAAAATGTCTGCCAAAAATCCAATCTTCAGTTTTTTTCCTTTGTCCAGGTTTTTCAATTTAGATGATCCTGTAAGGATTTATAGTGCCAATGCGGGCGCATCTTTTTTCTGATGGGTTACGAGAAATGTCGTCGCAATGGACGAGTTTAAAATATTAAAAACAAATTTAATAAAATATTCCATTTTTTATATAAAAAAATATTGTTGAAAAAAGGCTGTCTTTTACCCGAGGAAACACAAGTAATCCATTAAGTTTTTGCTTTTGGCGAACTTGAAAACTACTAACATAGATTTCTCTTAAATAGATGTGAATTACTAGAATCAAAAGAGGCGATTTAAAGAAGCAATTGCGGGTTTARCGACATATTTTTTCAAGCTTCCAAAGTCTGATACACAGAAATATCCAAATTTTCTTTTTGTAGTACTTTGAAAATTCAAGATCTAAGTGGATCAGTGAAAATTTTTATCCTCTATTATACAAAAAATCGACATTTTTTGAAGACATGGTTTTGGCCCACAATATTACAGTATTTATCTAGTCAAAAACAGTCCTTGGCAGCGMTGTAAACTTGCTCTTTGCAACCCCAAAGACATATCCACTAATAATGCTATTAAAATTAAATAACTTCTAAAGGGTGGAATTCTCAGGAACTTAAGCTTTCTGCAATTTCCATTTTACTTACTGTTTTGAACTACTGTTCTCTTGTTCACGCGATAGTTGGRCTTTCGTAACTGAAACGGATCCGGTTTTTATCAGTCAACATCACAACTCACAAGGAAAACGTGAGTCTGAAACTGTAGCATTTGTTCTGCTCATGCCTCTGTGAGCTCATTCACTCTGATGCCAAAATCTAGATACGAAGTAAAAAAAAGGATTAAAATATTACTGGAAACACATTGCTGCAAAAYATTCTTATCGATAAGGCCCTAAAGGGAATATGGTTATTTAAGAAGATGAATTTTAAAGCACTCTAGCCATGTAAGGAAATGAATCCAGAGGTAAAACCAGAAGAAAATCTTCAAAGTTAGAAAAGAAGAAAAAGGGAAAAGTTCGACGAATAGAGCGCAGTAGTYTGCACTTGGTTTGTGCAAATTAGAAAAAAGGGAATGTGAGAGACCAGCAGGGTAAAAAAAACATATACATATGCATGTATATATATTTCTAGCTTTATACATCTGTATGTGTGGTAAGACAAAAGGAGGCATATGTAGTAGTTCTCCAATTCCTAGATATTCACACATACTTATGCAAATATTAATTCYAGCGGGAATTTTTCACTAGCTATTTCCTGCCTCCATCTCATGAAGATTTGCCATTGATTGTGCGTATTATGGGATAATTTTTTTTTTATTCAAAAATTGAAATTCTCAACTTAATTTATAACTTGGCACATTTTTGATATGATTTTTATTTTTATTTTTTTTTCATTTTGGAATTTTATGTTGAATGTTTAGATTTTTATGTGCGTTTTGATGAGCAAATTAAATTGTAGAGAAATGGCTACGTGTGATAATGGGCCATTTGTTCAACATAAATTTGTGAGGGTAGCTCACAGCTCACATGTGCGACAGCAGGCGTATGGGCGGCCGCCGTCACACTTACCGTTAAGAGCGGATGTTCGCCTTACACACACCAACACACTACTATATTCTTATGTACATACATATACACTTGTACTATCACTTGTCGATTTTTTATTGCCGAATAATTCTTAGACCGCACATCTACATACACACACAAATGTGCTAGCTGCGCTTAATGGTTGTGTTGCGCTTGCCGCGGCGTGTGATTGCCGTGTGAGGTGTTGCTTTGAGGTCAGATGGCGGAAAATTTATGCTCGCCGCAGACTTGTCGCTGAACGTGTGACTATTTAACATATTCATAAAAAAACACACACATACAAGCACTAGCAGCAGCAGTAGTTGGTGGGAGCAATCTAAAATTAGGGGATGTTACTAAATTAATTATGCATAGCTTTGCATGAGCAACTCTGTGTGTGGGTGTTAATGTTCGCTTGACACCTGACAATGAATTGGGCGTGTTAATTTCAACAAATGAAAATGTCACAATTACAACAAAAACTATTAATTTGTAAATTATCAATTTCAAATTCCAAATTTTTTATTGCTGAAAATTAAATAAAAAAAAATTAAAATTGTTTATTCCGAAATATTTTTAAACTATATTTAGTTAATGGTACTCATTTATTGATTTGATTTAGAATTGATTGGAAAATTTTTATAAAATTCAAATTTGTCGGAAATTAGATTTCTTATTAAGGGTTTGTATGTATTTCTTTTATCAATTTGTTTCTTTTTTTTTTGCGTATCCATTTCAAACTTAAGACTGCTGAAAAAGTTTACTATTACTATTATAGATAGCGCATTTCGATTTGGAAACGTAGATTTAGAAAAAACTCTAAAAGATTTAGTTAAAGATTCGTTAAAGATTTTGATGAGAAAAGATTGTATGAAAAATGCATTGGAAAATCAAAATTGTGATGAATGAAAAAAATATGAAAGAAATGAAATATGATACGAAAAATGAAATTCATTGGAAAAATTGATGAAAAATTAAAATGTTGATGAAAAAAATTTATTTAAAAAAATTGATGAAAAATTCAAATGTTTATAAAAAAAAAATAATTTAAAAAAAAACTATGAAAAAATTAAATTTATAAAAAAAAGTTTATGAGGAAAAATTATACAAAATATGAAAAAATTAAATTCATGAAAAAAGTTGATGAAAAATCAAAAGGTTGATGAAAAAAAATTATTTAACAAAATATGAAAAAAATGAGACACGTGAAAAAGATTGATGAAAAATTAAAATATTGATGCTGTCTCTTATACACATCTAGATGTGTATAAGAGACAGATCAAAAGGTTGATGAAAAAAAATTATTTAACAAAATATGAAAAAAATGAGACACGTGAAAAAGATTGATGAAAAATTAAAATATTGATGAATAATTTAAAAAATACGAAAAACATGAAATTTTTCAAAAAGGCTAATGAATAGTTAAAATGTTGATGAAAAAATTATAAAAAACCAATTTTAAATTATAAAAAAACTATTTAAAAAAAATTTAAAAACTAAGTTAAAAAATTAATAAAAATAAAGTGGTTTTATCAGTGCTATACGTTCTCTAGAAAAAATTGCATGAGTTGATCTTCTAAGAGCATTTGAATCACAATTATATATCTTGATATGCTCTAGAGCTGAGTGTGAATTTTTCAGCTTTCCCGGAATCATATTTCCTCGAAACGAGATTTACCATTTTACGAAAGTTTCGAAAATAATGCAAACTTTTCCTAAAATCAATTTTCTCTCAGCTGCAAAAGAAAAAAACAACTTTTGTTCAATGAGAAGCCTCATCAGAGAAGCCTCAGAGAGTGACAATAAGGGATTTCTGTAATTTTTATGATTAGAACTGATCCTCGGTGTATTATATTTTCCATCATACACAGTTGAAATGCTTCTATTTCGAATATATCGATCTGCAAATTTAAAATATTTTTTTTTACTTTGAGAAATGCTCCTCCGCATGCTTTTACGAAAATGACCATAAATTGCGAATTACTAATTTTTACATAATTTCCATTATACACCTTCACATAAGTAAATATAGTTGTATACATGTAAAAAATATACGGAATAAATAATTCCGCTTAAGAAATTGGAGCRAAAAAATTACTGCACAGTAATTATAATTATTCATGGCATAAATTGAAATGTGAGTTCGTCAATGAACCGATTAAGGTTTCGCCCAAAAAATGCACCTGCCGAAGCGCTGAAGAGTGACCGGAAAATGGCACTTACAAAAAATACAAATTAATGCATACATTAAAAATATTTAAACGGTCACTTAGATGCGCCTCGCTGCAGGAATGTGGCTGCAAMCAACACTACTTTGTATGTGTGTGTGGAAATGTGGCTCCATTGCCTGAAATTTGCATAAAAATTTATCACAGCAATAATTTGACCAAAAAAGGCMGCCCAAATAAATAAAACAAAACTAAACACACGGCAACCAGCCCCCGAAAGAACGAAAAAACAAAAACAAAAATATGCGTGGACCAAAGTATTTATGCGCCAGGCCAGCGAAAAGGAGTCCACGAAGGATGTTGCAACAGCAGATTGATGCAGTTGCCCAAGTGGTTTTTAATTAAAACCATAAACAATTTTAATACGGACCAAGTGGCGACGCACGCAGCTTGTGCCAACAGCCGGCCGGTCGATTCGGCGATTCTTGGCTGTCTGAAGATTCGGTTGCCGCCGTGCATGAATGATGCGTGAATGAGTCAACGAGCTTGACTCGGGTCACGACTGCATATTAAACGGCGCGCAGGCGCGTCATTGGTTTGCCCAAATTTTGCACATTTTTCGCATCTTTTATTTTTGCTTTAATTGTTTTTGTTGGTTTTAATTTGTGTTGGTAACCCTGCCACTTGCCGTTGCATGCAGCTTGAGGCGATCGTCATAAATTGCATTTATTACGTGGCGGCTGCCAAGTGGAATTGCTCACAAATATACTTATCTACATAAAAGTGTGAATATGCATGAATTTTTTGCCGAAACAGGAAGAATTAAGCAACTGAGGAATTCGGAAAAATTCAAAAAAACGCAAGAAAAAACGTTAAAATCGATTGCAATATATTGTAGTAACAATAACCTTCACAGGTGCATTTCTTATAGCATAAAAGTACAAAAAATATTGTTAACTTGATTTGTACTTGTCAGTTTGTAYGGCAGGTATATGCTATAGTGGTCCGATCCGAACAATCTGTTTCGAGATTATAGTGTTGGCTTCGACAATAAGCTGTGTCGAATTTCGTGACGATATYTCGCCAAATAAGAAAGGGGCTCATACATGGACCCGATTTTCACCGGTCAGTTTGTATGGCAGCTATATGCTTAGTGCCCCAATAACAGTGGTTTCGACAAATAGAGAAGAAAACGACGTGTGTCACATTTTAGATCGAGATCTCAAAAATTGAGGGATTGGTTCGCGTATATACCGACCGAMGGACAAACRGAGATGGCTAAATCGACTCAGCTCATCATGTTTCCAATGTTTTCTTCTGGGTGTTACACACGAGAACAAATCGTTTTTTTTTCTGAAACCGCATAAGCAGTAAAATTTCTATATATCATTTTGAACGACTTTGCCTAAGAGAYTACGAGTGTAAACYCGGTTTCGAGCCAGCGATGTTTAGRATRAATTTTAAGAAATCTGAATGATCAGTTGTATGCAATATATTATATATGAAATAGTTGTCCGATGTGATCGAGTCTGATCTGGCCGAATGCAACAAATACTCAATAGCATATCAAAAATCCCCTTTATATTGAATTTCATTCGGATATCTCAAAAGCCGACGAAAATTTTATCATCCCTAAAGAACTTCGTTTTAAGGGGTTACTTGGGTTTACGGTTTTCAAAAAAAAAATTTTTTTTTTATTGCCTTATTAAATTCTACAACACCTCTAGAATATTGTCCTAAATATTCAAGTGGATCCGAGTGGTAGTTTCGAAGATACAGCCTTCAGAACTTGTGCGCTCGAGGCTAGCTAGGCTAAGTGCGCCGT